TCGATATTTGTGATCATGTGCGGGGTCTCTAACAACATCTGCTGAGATTTTAAAACCTTTAAGTGTGGGCCAGGCTTCAGGTTTTATCCTGCTTATCCTTTTTCAAACACACTGGTAGGGTGGTCGGTGCAGCAACATGGCAGAAAGGAACATCATGGTCCCCGACATCATGGTCGGGGCAGTTCTCTGTGGAGGTAAAAAAAACAAAAAAAAACATGTTGCTTCAAAGGTTTCTGAGCAACGTAAGGTCACTGAGACTCAGATGTTGAAGGATGCTGGCAATTACCCGTCAGGCAAGAGAGTACATCCAGAGACAACACGTACACATACACATACACACACACACACACACACACACACACACACACACACACACACATAAAAGCTACATTAGCTTTCTATCTCGCCCTGCCTTTTATCCCCTCTGACAGGACAGTTGTGGCTCGGAGCAAACGTCACCTGTCAGTGACAATAGTCCTTAGAGGACATTTTAGTCCCCACACACAAATACACACAAGCCTCAGAAACATCTGTGTCTCCAGGTTTTTCTGGTTGTTGTTTTCAGGTTCTGTTGTGTTCACATTAAATCACCGAACATTTTGTCTCCAATAATGAATAACAGATCGAGTCGCACTCCAAAATAGCTGGTGACAGATTATGTCTACTTTATTATGTCTACTATTTATGTGGAGCTCCCTCTAAATTCTCCAGTAACACACGTTTCACATGAGCAAGTATGTGAACATTTACATACTGTACGTGACGCAGCAGGTTGTCTACGCATACTGTATGTGTGGTTCAGAAGCAAATGTGTCTGAGCTTTTAGAAATTCATAAACACAAAAAGACGGACACACACACTGACACTCAAGTAAATCCTGAAACAAAACACACACACTTGTAGGACTGAATGTGAATGTAGGTCCTCAGTGAATACAGCTGGTTAGTCACAGGTCTCAAAAAGAGGTCAATGTTACCCATGATGCAACAGGATAAACTGCAGGATACAATATGACCGGATATATATGATAAATGATGCACAGATTGTATTCTGTCATTGCATAGAAATGGTGATAAATCTCATCATGTCCTCTCTGAAATGAACTCAGGTATATTAAAAATAAATGTAAGTTGAGTCAAATCATCTATCAATCTGCAAACTAAAGCTTGCTTGTGTGTGTGGATGTCTGAAAATCTTTTGCAGTCACAACATTACTGCAAGTCCAATGCTCCGATGTTTATTTCCATGACAACGGTGCCATAAGGTGCTATGGTCGCCATCCTCCGTACTTTCATTTAAAGTCCTGTCTCAGAGCTCCATGACATTTGGATCTGCAGAGTCGGTTATACTCCAAGCCAGCTGCAGAACAGGCACTCCCAAGGGAACACAAGTGCTTATTGAGTGGTTCAGTGGTTCCTAGCGTACAGTGTGCGTGTTTTTGTGTGCGTGCGGTTGTCTGTATGACTGTGTGTGTGTAAATGCATGCATGCATGTACCTTCAGCATGAAGATTGACTATTTCAATAAAGTAATTTTCTACGTCTGAAGATGCTGCCTCGGGGAAGGTGTCAGACTATGTGATTGTTCACTGTTGAAAGAGACTTTTTAAAAACATTTTCCACAGATAAGATGAACCTTTGACTCTTCAAAAAAACAAGATACAATTTTTAATGAAAAAAACATTACTTACACATGTACAGGACAAGATCAGCAAATAGAGACATGTACTGCATTGTCCACAGGGGGCGCCAAAATCAACATGAAGGTGTTTTAAAGACAAAATTATTATTTATATTAGCAAACAAAATGCCTAAATATGCTTCCCAAGTAGTTCTGTTTATCCCTGATACTCTTGCTGGGTCAACCAAACGTGTACTTTTTATTTTAGAGACACTGATTTTTCATATTTGGCTTAAAAGAGCCAGGTTGATGGATGCTGTTAGCCTAGCGGTTAGTCTGCACAGCCCATGTACAGAGGCTGTAGCCCTCAAAGCAGACGGTCCGGGTCCAAATCCGACCCCTGGCTCCTTTCCTGCATGCCATTGCCCAATCTCTCTACCCCAATTTCTGACGCTAACCACTGTCCTGTCTCTACAATAAACGCATAAAAAGCCCCAAAATACATCTTTGAAAAAAAGGCCAGGTTAAGAGAAAATGGAAGAAGGTTTTTGGCCAAATCAGTGCGTATGAAACAGGATTAAATATGTACACTGTAAATAGATTAGGAATCTGTAATTACAGATAAAACCATCTTGTTCCTTCCCCTTGTGTTAATGTATAGCAGATCTTAAACTCACAGGATGCTCGTAGCCCCGAGTGGCAGCTGCGGAGTCACTGCAAACAAATGCATCAATCTAAATGTGATGAGCTTGGAAGCAGATGAAACGGCTGGTATTCATGTTCTGAGGTCTTAAAGTGATTGCCTTTATGCTGGAATGGTTGTAAAATAATCATGCCCACATTACAGACATTAGTTAGCTTTCAGCAGGATCTGGTAATGCATGCATCGTTTGGTAAAGACATTAAAATAGCTTATAATTAAAGTATAAACATACTGTATGTAGGATGTGTGAGCCTTGTTCATTTTTCTGCTCTGAGCAAAGAAGTGAAGCAAATGCAAATGTCGGTAAACAAACATGACCTAAAAATACACAGTGCTACCGGGTTGTCACAGAAACAGAAGCTACCTCTCCTCTTCTTCTGAGGCAAGTCAGCTAAATATAAAAAATGAGAAATTATTGTAATCTCAGTTTGAAAATTGAGCTGCAGTGAACGGGCCCTCACACCGGCAGCTGTGGCTCAGTGGTAGAGTCGGTTGTCTCTCAGCCGGAAGGTCGAGGGTTTGATCCCCAGCTCTTGCAGTCACATGTCCAACGAGTCCTTGGGCAAGACACTTAACCCCAAGTTGCTCCTGCTGCTTTGTCAGCAATGTATGAATGGATAAGTTGCTTCTGATGTTCCCTTTGCACAGAAACCTCTACCATCAGGGTGTGAATGTGTAGGTGTGACCTGCGGTGTAAAAAGGTTTCGATAAGTCAGAAGACCAAAAAATAAATATATAGGCTCAAGTCCATTTACCATTTCACCCTTAGGGTCAGTTCTGTATACGAACCAAGTTTCAAGTGGATCACATACGCAGGAGTTAGTCAATGTTGGGCCAAAAATACTCTGTTTTTGACCTTGAATTTAAAATTGCAGACTTCCTGTTGGTTTAACGATGTTTGCCCATGAGGCTTGTTTTTGTAGATCTAGAGCTCATGTCCTATGCTAACGATCCCCTATAACTACCTGCGGGATCTAAACTACACACACGGCGCCACTCAAGGAGGTTACTATTGTATTCATTCTGAGATCAACATTAACTCCATTCATCTTTGCTCCTCCCCCTTCATGTTATGTTGCATTATAACAACCTTTTTGTCCATCTTCACATACTGGTCCATTCATGAAGATCTGTAGGCATAATTCATGTTTCATAACTCTTGGTTAAGCCTGCTTCTGGGTGTGATATTATACAATTTTGCAGGGGGCGCTACTGAGCTATATTGCCACGCATACTTTCAAACTGTCTCACTGATCTCGTGTACAAAGTGTCATGGCCGAACAAGGGTTTAAAGACCGTAAAAATCCACTTCCTGTTTCATGGCAAACATTGTGTCAGAGCAATTTTAAGCAATATTTCACATAAAATATCTCTATTTGAAAATCACTACAGTTTTTGTTTGGATCTTAACAGTTTTTGTGGTCGCGCATGCCAAGTAAGATTGTATTTTAGTCGGGGGGGATTTCCCAGCAGCGACAAAATGAAATGCACACTCACATCTCCGATCGTAATCTTCCTCTACTGAAAAATTCTCATCCGCTGTGTGACATGACTGCTCTCCATGTGTTTGATTTAATTCCTCTTAAACCTATCACACAGAAACATGAAAGCATATCAGCGGCTTGACACTGACAGCTCAGCTCGCTCTTATAATTACTCTAATTAACCCCTCTTTGACCTTGTTATATTGCTGCTCGGTTTTTATGAAGAAATAATTTAATTCTCCTGTTAGATGACTAGCTCCGACAGCAGGGGTCAAATTCACAGACGTAAGCACAAATCACATCCGAGGCGAGATAAAGAGCTCCATCAGAGCGGGCTGGGAGGTCAGAACGTACGCTGCGCTCCGAGTTTCAAAAGGTCCTGACGGCATTTTACACACACAAAAATCAAGCCTTGTGTTCTGGAAACTCATACTGCTGTGTGTTCCCCAGCTGAGCCAGAGCTGCTTTGGTATTCACGAGGGTGCTGTGAGATTCAGGTGAATGAGATGTAGAGCATGTAATCCGACGCTGCATAGAGCAGCAGAAAAAGTGGGGTATCAGGTGCGAAATGTTTCTCTATTTTTTATTTGAGCCCTCGGGCAGCATGAGGCAGCATTTTGATGAAGTTGACGAGTTAACGTGGACCGAATCATGAATGTTTCTTGTCTGTGCGCTTTGTCTGGTTGCCCTGAAAATGTGGGATTTGTAGAAATATAAATGAAGATGATGACACGATTTACTTCAGATTTCTTTATTTCTATCAAGAAATACTCGTGCATCATGTTAGCTGTGGTATTTATGTCGTTCATCAGTCTTTTGCACACACTTTCTCGTCTTGTTTGTTGTGTGCTCGCCTTGCTTCTTCACGCCCTCTCTGAACCAAGACGGAGCGCATAACCTTCACTTGCTTCTGCTATCTCTGTACGCCTCCCTTCTCTGGCTGCTGATGTCAAACGAGAGAAGCCGAAAGCAGATAGTGCCCTCTGCTGGTTAAAAAAGAGTATTGCGATAATGTTTTTGTCTCATCAATTTGAATTGTCCGTACTCGATTGCATCACAAGGTTTCGTTACATCCCTACTTAAAAAAACAAACCATGCCGAATGTCTGTTCTGTCCAGCCGCCTCGTTTTCTCTCCACTTCACTTTACATGCCTTCTTTCTAAACTTCTTTTTCTCTCTCTCTCCTCTCTGCAGTGCGGCAAAGGAGCCGAGAACTTCGACAAGTTCTTCACGCGCACCCAGCCGCAGCTCACACCGCCGGACGAGCTCGTCATGGCCAACATCGACCAGGCGGAGTTCGCAGGCTTCTCCTTCATCAACCCACAGTTTGTAAATCCGGCCATCAACAACAGCGTATGAGATGGACGGAGGGACCTCTCTGACGAACCTCCCGCCCACTCACTGCCACCAACCTAAACCAACCGCCAACTGGATGAAGGCCCGTTATATGAACCTTTACGTACATGTTTTATTCATTAACAGCATTCTAGGGCATGCATTTTTCTTCTGTATTATATATTTGCCAGTGTAGATAATATACATTAGATTGGTACGATTGAGTTAAATGAGAAGCGTGACATAATTCTGTCCTGTTTGTAATGAAGGTTTACCATAACTGGAGGCACTGACACAGACGACCTGTAAATGACATGAACAAGAAGCAGATCTGAAAGGATAAACGTTGGGGTCTACATACAACTCCGGGCAACTCCGGTTTGTGTTTAAATCAAACTAACATGTGATGTTAATAATATGTGACTCCAAACTTCAAAATAAGATAATTTGCCGAAAATGACATCTGGTCAAGAGAATGAAGGGATGTAGGATATTTCGGACCACAAATGTTGCAACAAAGACAAGTTCATATTCATTTTTCAACAACAGAAAACTAATGTTTAAATTAAAGAAGGAAGGAAGTTCAAAGATCTTTATTTGGTGGAATCATTTTCACTCCAACTGTTCTTTTAATCAGCATCTCTAGATGCATAAAGCTAAGTGGCAAACCATCAAAGAAATCTGAGTGGCTTGGCCTTTTTTGTGCCAAGAGGGGAATAAATGGTTATTTGACTTGAGCTTGTAAAGTTATTTTCTAGTCTTCTGACTACCCAAAGCGCTTTACACTGCAGGTCACACCTACACATTCACACACTGATGGCTGAGGCTTTACTTTATGAAACGAGTCCTTTAGTATTAACTAATGTCGCCAACAAAGCAGCGGGAACAACTTGGGATCAAATGTCTTGCCCAAGGTCGAATTGGACATGTGGCTGCAGGAGCTGTGGAAGAGACCCCTGACCAGCACTGTTGGAGAGCATGACATGATGCTTGAAAGCTGTAGAATAGGTCAGGGTTATTCCACCAAATATAGATCTTTGTACTAATTCTTTGTTCTACATAATTATTCTGTTGTTTAAAAATGATTTGCAACTTGTTTGAGGTCTGACAAATAATGCATCTGTTTTTTGTTTTTTTTAATCTAAACTAGTTTAAATTTTCGCAAACATAAGACATGAATGTGGAAGGAATTTCATGAGGAAGTTGGAGGAAATATTGTTTACAATGAAACAAAAAATGTTCATTTTATTTAAGCACAAACCTTCCAAAAGGAGAACCAGAGACATTGTTTTTCTTTAGTGATCTCTTAAATGATTGGTTCTGGAGTTGCATATTTGCCAGTGTAGATAAAATCCATCACATTGGTTCAAGGCGGTCTTCAAGTAATAACATGAGGAGTCTGTACTGAAGACATAATTCTGTCCTGTTTGTTATGAAGGTTTATCAGAAGTTGAGGCTCTGATGCAGATGGCCTGTAAATGACATGAACAAGAAACAATTCAAGAAGCATTTCAGCACATCTCAAAGGATAACAATTAAAGTCTAAATGTATAGCTGGAGAGATAGTCATCACAATACTCAGTAGATATTATCTGACACTCATATGGTAAGTTAGCTACTATAGCCAAAACAACAGGTGGTGCAGGTTGTTAAATAAGCACCTTCCTACAGCTCCCCTTCGGTTTCATGGTGATGGTGTACAATCTGTCGTAGTTCCAATTTATTCTATCCAGTGCTAACTTCCTGTCAGTAGCAAATTATTTATAACTAAATGATTATAAAGTAACTTTACAATTAGATAACATGCGACCTGTTTGTGAGACACATTGGTATAAAAGTTTATCAGGGTCGGTTCTAACTGAAGTTAGCTTAGTTCAGCTGTTATCCACCTGTTTTAGTTCCTTTTAAAGATGAACCTTTACAGATCTATTTTCTAGCCCTTATGAGCTGCAGATTGTGTACTTCCCTTGTTCATAATTTTGTGGACACCATGTGGACACATAGTGATTAGTTTAGTATGTGGGCAGAATAATTATTCTCATATCTACTCAAAGTTAAAAAGTAAGGCCGGAGACATACTTGCTCTAAACTATGCCTGTGCGTATGCGTGTGCATGTACCTCACCTCCCCCGCTGTGCACGTCGTCAGAAAGTAACGAGACCTGGACGCAGGTTGCAGTATGCACATGAACAGTAGGGGCAGCATAGAGGCAGAGGGGATGTGACAGGGTCCGCACAGCTGCAGGGACATCAATGGCAGAGAGCTTTGAGATGTTAGAGAAGGTCTGCAATTATCCACATCTGTACGATGTGTCACTGCAGCTACACAGCGATCAAAATAATTAGCGACAAAATGGGTCTATTTAAAGGGGACATATTATGAAAAATCCACTTCTACAGTGTTTTTGAACATATATTTAAGTAACCTGAGTGTCTACTGACCCACAAAATGTGATATAAACCCATCCAGTCCTTTGTTTGTTGTCTACATAAGTCTTACAACACAGAGAAAAATGCTCCGTTTCAAATTTTCTCTCCTTGTGATGTCACAGCAGGATTCTGGTAAACAAAAAATCCCCTCCCCTCCACTGGTATCTCCACCAATGGACTCCACCTCCAGCCTAGAGCAAAACTTTTACGCAGGTCCGCCATTTTTATTCTCGCTACAGAGGAGTGATGTCTACCAGGAAAACTCAGGGGGGGGGGCTCATTGCATTTAAAGAGACACACACCAAAACGGAGCGTTCTGAGAGAGCTGGTTTATACAGGGTCACAAACCTCCTCTGGTGCTTGATTCATGTTATATTTTGACTAAAACACAGCACAGATGTTTCATTTAGACCACAGGGGACTGTTTGAAAAGGTGGAGAAGGGGGATAATATGTCCTCTTTAAGAAGTCAACGTGCACGTACCATGTTGATCACAGAGTTGACATAATAGTCACCTCCTTGAGTGTCGCCATGGCTGTAGTTTAGATCTGACACCAGGTAGTTGCATACAGCCATACCGCTCTGGTGTGCCCTCTAGAGGTATCCTCCGGCAACACGCATTGTTCGCTGTCAAGTATGTGAACAATGACGCTCATGATGCAGCCAACGCAAACGCAAGGTTAAAAAAAAAAGCAAGAATGTCTCGAGCCTAAAACGTTTACAGCTTGTCATTTTTGAACACTGTCTTTGTCCCTGAACCTAATGAAGCCTCCCATTCGTCTTAAACACATAAAGACATTTCATAAATTATTTGTTTTTAGTAAGATTATAGAATGATGTCATCATGTATTAACCATGCAGTATCACGCTCTCCAGGGACGGAGGTTTGATTTGGAAGTGGTGACTCAAAAGGAGCATTTCTTACTCCTCTTTCTTTCAGAGTATGTCAACACAATTATTTTTCTTTAAATCCTATTTTGATTCTTTAAATGCCTCTTCTTTCCTCTCTCCTCTGCGTGTTTTTCCGTTAGATCAAATGGATATTTTCATGTTTCTCATATCAGAGCAGAACTCCTTTGTAAATAATCACCAGTTATTTAAAAAGAGTATAGCAAGTTACAGTTTTTATACCAACACCTGAATGTGCTTTTATTACATTAATTATATCAACCAATATTTGTATGTGTAAAAAAAACTAAAAAATACGAACGTGACCCAGTACTGATCAGCGTCGTAACAGCGTGATGTCTTTCACGGAGTCACGTTTGGGACATGTTTCTGTTTTTCTTGTTATGACGGATTTATCAGATCTTTTGTTCTTTATTCATAATCCTCAATGTTGACTGCAAAAGTCCTTGTGTTGATTGGATGCGCGTCCGGCTGTTGACTGTCCTTGTGTACCTGCATGCTGTTGCTGGGCATCATTCATGCACGTGATTCGCCGAGTGCTGCATGCAATTACATAAAAATAAAAAAAAACCCAAAGAGTTACAACCTCAACGTGGTACTACGCTCAAACCCTTATTGTAGATGTAAGAGTCAGTCTAATACAAATAATGTACCTCCTTTTTTTTTTTTTTAGGAACGACAGCCATAGTTAGCTCCAATTTGTGTTTATTTCAGTGAATCCTTTTTTAACTTCCATCTTCTTACAAACCAGCGGTCAGCTTTTTTCAGTTAGAAGGACCACACCATCAGATATATGGTTGCTAAAAATATTGATTTATTTTATAGGATTGATGATTTTAAATTACATGATGTTGAATCTGAGAACGATAGAGGAGGAATCGGTAGCGTTTGAGTTCATGGGACAGCATGAGCAGGCATGGTTGAGGTATGGTCCTGCCCTGATTGTCGATTAATCGATTAATCCTACAATCGAATTATTGTTGCAAAATTATTTTGCGGTATTTTTTTTTACAGGACAACTATAGGTTTTACAAGAATCTTATGAACCTAATTTTACGGTAATAATCTTTTACATATTTGCAGATCTGTGTACACAATTCTATTTACACATTCACAAATAGTTCTGCTACAATAATACTTCCATATAATTTCATGGGATGATTTTTTGATCTGTAAAAGATAAAGACATTTCAACACACCACAGCTGGGTACATTAAATCCCCGGTTCCACCAAGCGGTCCGGTTCAGTACCCATTTATTGGCGTTCCCACCGTCAAACGTTGGGAATGGTACCAAAATAATGGATCTGTACCGTCCTACTTTTTTGGTTCCCTTCTGTTGGGTTGCCAAGGGTACCGATCCAACCCTAAAGGGTCTCTTTTGTTTACTGTGTCCCTGTTATTTTTGAACGTTTAGCTTAATTAATAGCAGGCTACAATGTGTTGGGCTGCTATGATGTCTCACTATCTTCATCTGGCTTACCAAATAAGGGCACGGTCGGTTGTGGATACGCAAGCAAGATCACGGTTTACCGTACTGAACCAAACTGGACCGCTTGGTGGAAATGGGTCTTTAGAGTACTGATCTTAAACCAGACGTGGTTCTTACATCAGGACTATGTGTGAGGTCAGGAGCCAGGGTTTTGCCAATAAGAATGCAGATTGCCCAGACTAAAGAAGGTGAAATAGACGTATCAGGTTACACATACTAAATCTACCTGATGATCTGTAACCATCATGGTCTGTGGTTTCACGTATTTGAAGGAGGGAAACTGAATCCAGCTGAATCAGCCGAGAGTTGTAACTCAGAAGCACCGCTCGTTCTAAGACCAGATGGACCAGACCCGCTCTCTGGGGTGTCATGAAGTGGGGTTGTGTTATAATCTTAATGTTGTGTTAAATGTTGTGTCTTTTTTTTCTTTTTGCTCATCAGTGTTGTCTTTTGATTTCTCCACTTTCTGTTCAAGGAATTCAGGAATGTTTTGAAGGATATATCACATAAGAAAAACTCATATCTGACTGATAAAAATAGGAACTAGTGTAATCATTTCTCCATGTTTTCTTCACGCCTTCCTGCTGTATTTTTCCTTTATTGTAAAAAACCTTCTGCATGTGCCAAACCTGGAAAATGCCAGAAACCCGACTAAGCAGCGTTGCACTAGCTGTAGTCACATGGAGGACTCTCAGTTCTGCCTAAAGCCACATAACATAAAGAGAAGCATGCTGCCATGAGTGTACAGTACCAGCAGCGCGGTCTGCTCGCCGTACACAGTGCTAGATATTCCTGCCCATGTTGCCTAGGGCAGAATTGTCTCTGAAGAAACATTTCAACTAGCAGAGCATTTATTTTAACATCCACATAAGTGAGAGAAAATCCTCTTTGTACATACTCAACATCCG